ATTTTACTGATTTGCAGGTTCAGTAATTAGATTAGACAGACATGGTGTTTGTAGTTTGAAGCCTGTAGTTTTAAAACAGTTTAATTTTCATGTTAGTTTCAACACTACGACCATCTTTATTTTCTGCAACCCAAATATTTCCAAACTCGCAAACTTGCATTTCTTGTAAATGGGGTACATGATAGCTTCTTTTAGCCAGCTGACCAGCAGGGGACAGCAACAAAATGGGAGAACGGCAACATTATGTTGCTCCATGCTTCAAGCAGAAAAGACAAAAGTTTTGCACTTTTTCATTATCTCATAAAAAAACTATTTAAACCATCAGTGCAGCTGTCCTTGATTTGACATCCAACATTTCCTGCCCGTCAATAAAGGCTGCTGAAAAAAAAAAAGATAAAGAATCGGAGTGATGGCAAGAAGGCCTTCCAGATCACACATAAAGTGTCAAAGTACCAGTGAAAGCATGTAAACTACAGGGCATTAATTACCAGAAGGGCATAAATGCAGTATTGTTAATATACAATTTTTTTCATTTTTTATTAAGAAGGCTATAGATATCTTTCAACATTTTGTTTTATAAATTATCAATAAAAACTGACAGATTTTTTTATTCATGTCCTTATCTACTTCACATTATGATCATGTGAAATATACAGTGTGTGTGTGTGTGTGTGTGTGTGTGTGTGTGTGTGTGTGTGTGTGTGTGTGTGTGTGTGTGTGTGTGTGTGTGTGTGTGTGTGTGTACAAAGGAAAGAAAAAAGTTTTTGATAACTTTGAAAGTGCATATTATATAATTTTTCAGCATGATAGGACAATCCATTTCCGTTCGAAATGATGTTTTAGGATCAATACGTCTTCAGTTAAAGCTGTAAAATAACTCAAGTTCTACTACGAAGCAGATACATCTTAATAAACATCAAGAAAAAGCTTTTTTTTTTTTTTAGATATTTACACTCTGCATGACACAGCCACCTACTCCCAAATGTAATAGGTACTGGAAGGTGAACCGTTTGGTCACAGATGGAGACTGCTCTCCATCCGTGATGCAGAAGTTCAGAAAAACGGTACTGAAGAAGAACTGTGGAAATGTCACTTTCCACTTCCGCACTCGAGAACATTTCGGTATAACGCTGGATTTGTCCAGTTTAAACAATGTAAGGAAACAACAAAACTTTGACCTAGAAACTACTACCGAACATTCTGTGCATTCTTCTAAAAATCACAATAACATCAACCCCTCCATCAACACCGTCACTCCCGCCAACATCCATATCCAAGTGACACACCCTTTCCTGCTCAGTGGACTGCAGATAAGCTGCTCCCAGCGGGAAAATTCACTGCAGTCAAACACGCACACACACACACACTTGGTCCTAAATCTGTCCTGTTTTACTGATTTCTCCTTAAAGACGGGAGTCATTACTTTTACCACCCTGTCCTGTTGGTCTATTATTTTCACCTTTTTGTGCTCAGGCCTTTTTTTTCTGATTCTGCAGGAAACTCAACAGGATGCAGAATGTGAGTGGGGCAGGAATGATAGGACAATGGGAAGCAAACTGTCACTGAACCCTCTCGCACACACTCCAGCAGAGGGGAGAGGGAGACGGAGTTAGAGGGGGAACAGTGGAAAAGTAAGGCGTCTCAGCCATCGGGATGTCCTGTTTCTACATGATGTCATCACATCCTTGAGACACAGAGGCCAGACCCGGATTGATGTTTGTAGCTCTCAGAGGTTTCCCCGGTTTTCTACACATTAGGATTGAGACTTTGTCCAACAAGAGGAAGCTCACTGCCTTGTGTCATGTTCAGCTCGTATCCAGGTGTTTAGGACTCTTGCAATGTGCAATTCCTCCTACAGAAGAAAATATACACAAGTCCTTTTCCTTCCTGCCTGTATGTAGCTCCCAGGCTATAGACAGGAACGGACTCCGTAAAGAAACAGGAAGTGATGGAGTCCGGCCTAACAGCGGTTTTACCCATCAAAACTCTCGCAATTTCTTCATCACCTTTAAACTTTTTAAAGTTGTGAAACCTATGCGTTCAGAGATTACAAAAAGGAATCGACAAGGATTAACAACCTGCCTGAGCTTAATGTTAAAACCATAAAAACATTTTTTGATAGCTGGGAATGTTAAGGAAACAGGCAGCCCAGCCTTTTCCTCTAGGTGGTTTACTGCAGGCATGTACTATCAATAATACACTAAAGGAATATCTAACACACTGACAGAAATACAATCTTTCTGGAAAAATGTATATGGGTGTACCCATCACAAATCCAAACAATATATCATTTATAATAAATAAATATATATTATATATAATTTGGCCTGCTTTAAATGCCAATGGAGCCATTTTTGCCATTCTGCCCTCAACAGATAAGAGTAAGTTCACCAAGCGGATATTTGCAGGGAAATCGAGGTGGTCTGGCAACTTTTGGGAGCCAAAATATTTCCAGCAAATTTGTTGCCTTTCAGACAGCTCGCTGTCAGTGTGCAGCAACAGACAAGAGACAGGGCTGGGCTGTGTGGGTTTATACTTCATAAAGTCATAGAAAAGTCTTGTCACTTGTCATAGAAACAGCAACTTTTCAAGATTAGCTTCTCTGGACTGAATGTCGGACGTTCATCCGGGACAAAAACAAAAAAAAAGATCAGCATAAACAAATGGAATACTGAACAAATAAATACTGCGTCTCTTGAAAGTCTGCTCTTCACTAAATTTCCTTCTTGAGAGGAGACATCGCCAGCCCTCTTGGTGGCAACACAGGTTATGACAAAACTCTTTAAATTCCGATTTTTTTTGTTTTGTTTTGGGGGTTTTTTTAACCATTGCAGCATGATTTCTAAACATCCTCTGTCGCAGGCCATCTGTCCACCATGAAAAGTGCAAGAACAAGTGCACAACCGCACCTCGTCAACTTCTCGTAGGCAACTATAGCCAAACTTCCCTTTATTTAACAGACAGAAAGTCGCTTCTCAGCTGTCAGAAATTTGACAAATTGATATTAGAAAAGCAGCGTTAAAATCAAATTAGGCTACATATACATACATATATCTATATCTACACATATATATGTGTGCATATAGATATATATATCTATATATATAGCCTATAGATAGATAGATAGATAGATAGATAGATAGATAGATAGATAGATAGATAGATAGATAGATAGATAGATAGATAGATAGATAGATAGATAGATAGATAGATAGATAGATAGATAGATAGATAGATAGATAGATAGATAGATAGATAGATAGATAGATAGATAGATAGATAGATAGATAGACAGACAGACACACACACAGGTGTATATACCAGAGTATTTCTGTTATCATTGAAATACTTTACCGTGTGTGTCTATTTTTTGACACACAGGACCCCTTTGAACACTTCAAGAATAGATGTAACTTTTGTTGCAGTGGAGTTTACCCTTCAGAAATAAGCCCCTGAATTAACTCGGTGTGTACATACCAGAGAAAGACGCGGACGTTCAAGCGGTGAATCCAGGTGTGGGTTGCTGGAGGAGAGACGCGCGCGCTGCTTCAGAGAGCGAGATAAGTGAGAGTAAGTAAAAGAGAAAAAAGGAGCGCGCGTGCACTAAAAGGACCAGCCCAGAGGGCGGCGCGCGCGTGGAGCGGACCCGTGGACGCTTCATTCAGCGGAAACAATGACTTTTAACACTATTTCCAACGAAAGCGGTCAGTTATTTGTACCGTAGGAGTGACGTAACGCACCTGAAATAACTATTAGCGGACAGCAGACCCGGCTGAAAAATTGCACACCGGATATGGAAGAGGAATGGCTTCGATGTGTCGATTTTTAGATTAATAAAGCTTATCTAGGCCAAAGTTTTCACTTTCCGAATGGAAACAAAAACAAGGTCTGCCTTTACTTTTAGCGAGTAACTTACATTTCTCTTACAAGCCGCCAGCCGAGCTGAATCAGCCTCGGTTCCTGGGTGATGTGCAGCTGCAGCTCAGATGTGACACTTTGACGGAGTGGTGCGAAAGACAGGAAGAAGACCGGAGGAGATGTGTGACATCCGCGTCAAAAACTGCATGCATGCATGAAACATTTACGTAGCTACTTAGTGTGCGGTACGTTTCTTGACCCTTTGTGCTTCCACGCATATTTCAACTGTGGCAAAATTGACCTCTGGTAACTGCAGCATGGATACACGTTCACAATTAACTGCGGCCTTGGGTTAAAAGACACCCGCTGAACAAGTTAATGTAAGGAAGCTTGCTGCCACCTTGTGGCGTAAAAGGGGTACGACATGTACCAATGTAGATGAGCTCTTCTGTTCAGGTTTGTCACAGCTTAAATATGTCAAAATCCTCTTTTTTTTCAAACCTAGTCTTCGAGTTTAGAAATTTAAATTCAGTTTGTCATAAAGGAAGTGGCTTTAAACTATGGAAACCCAGCCCACTGATCTTAAAACATGTTATCTGGGAGGGTTTAATCATAACTGAATAAAGCAGCAGATCATTTTCATCTTCTCAGCTGGTACTGCAGAACTCTGGAAGCCACAGGCACGTTTCCAAAAGTATATATTTTCATGGTCTTAAAACAAACACCAAAGGAATTGTTAGGTGAGCTGTGGTGCCTGGTGATATTTGAAATGCCCTTGTATCAAATGTGGCATATTTCAGAAAGCAAAAGTGGATTTCACCAAATAGATTCTTTAAAGATCAGTTTGTGATCAAAGATAACTTACTTTTTGCCAATATTAAAAACAACTGCCAATGTTTTGGCACCTAAGCAAAAGTACAGGTGTGGTTTAAACTTGTCTAGACGTTGTGGCAAAGCAATGATGAAAGATGTGATCTTCTGGAAGCCATTTTCAGAAAAATCGGATTTCTATCCTTTAAGTTAAAGTTATGGAAAATATTATAACTTATTTCCGTGTTCAATTTACATTTTTCACAAAATAAGTGCCCAGACTTTTCCAGACTTTGGAACCAAGACAGAGGAGGAAAAAAAGGCAAAATCAGTTCACCATTAACAAAGAAACTTTATTGCTTATAAAAATACAAGATATTTCAAGTTTCAGCTTAACCTTGTTGTACCTGCAGACAGTAACTAGAATCTTTATGATTTTTGCTGAGTAGAGTGTTAATTAAAAATCAAAAATAAACTTTTTTTCAATCAGTGATTTACTAATGCGGTAACAAACTGACCTGACATCACCAGGAGTGTAGCATGTAGATTTTACAGACGTGTGCAAGATAAATCAGAACGCTCAAGGCTCCATTGGGGATTTTCATCCTCACATATTCAGTGCAAAAAACAGGTAACATTTTTTTTAAATACATCCACATTGCAAAGCAGCATCGAAAACATTTAACACTGAAACATACGATATGAATTTGCAAACATTCACTGTAGTGTGTGAGAATAAGGTTTTCCATCATAGCGGCTCATGTGCAACAAAGTCATTTAATGTAAGCCGTGATAGATCTGAGTGTGTATAGGAGCGCCGCTTGTTGACGAGCTTCCATCACTATTAGATTGGCGTGAACCTGCAGGACAAAAGGGAAAGAAAAAAAAAAAAGTCAAAATGCCATGTCATCTACCTCTGGGTAAAAGGCTGAAATATTTTCAACCCCTATCTGTAAAGCTTCGTTTTCTTATGACATTTAAGAGACGGAAACGACGGTAAAAGTCTGAAATGCCAGTGATTCATTCTTTGTTGAGAAGATACCAGAGAGGAGTTGAAATGTCAAGTGATTTGTGATGACAGAAGTTGGGTTCGGTGTGTGTCTGAACCAGTCCGCACCTTTTCGGAGTGTCTGAAGTGTCTCCAGAAGGCGTGGTAAATGCGCGCAGTGGTCTGCTCCGGGTGACAGGCCATGGTTTTAACAAAGACCTTCAGAGAGCGCTCCAATAAAACATTGACACTGCCGTAGTCGTAATCGTCGTACCTGCAGGTGCAGAAGAGACTTAAGACGGCGGGAATATGGTGGACGTTTTGTGTAGGAGGTGTGAGAGTAGAGAGCGCTACACCAACCGTATGCCGTAGAGGCAGTGGATGTAGTTCCACAGAGCTTTCCTCAGAGTGTAAGTGTCCACGTCTTCATGCATGGCCATCCTGTTATAAGTCAAGTTGCTCACAACCTGCAAAGTTGCATCACCATCGTCAACATTTTTTAAAATCTTTTTACACACAAACAGATCACAGTTTTAAATATATTTTAAAAAGTGTTCATATCATCTGCTGAACAAAGCATCCTTGCAAAGGTTAACTACTTGGCTGTATGCATTTCATTTCAAACATGTGATGTTGCCAAGAAACAGAAAATTAATAAAGTCCATGAAACAAGAATTGAGAGACTTTTTCTGATCATTTACAACAGTGAAACCTGACAAAGAGGAAGTTAGAGTCCCAGCAAACAAACACTACTGCCCACTGTCTTGTTTCAGGTGTCTTAAAGTTACTTTGAGCGATGAACGAAAAAAAAGTGACCTTTGAGATTTTAGTTCTTTATCTCTTAAGGAAATCAAGTCAAAAAGGCAGTGTGCTCTTGAATCTACAAATGATTCATATGGAGTGTGTTTTTGCTCTTGGGTCATTTTTATCCCCGTTGTTTTTAAGCGATTAAAGGCAAAAGTACCTGAAATTCCTCATCCAGGAACTGACCCATGTCGGGAAGCAGCCTCTGCACCACAGAGAATCCGTGATCTTCCCAGGAATAATCCTGCAGATCAGATGTTGAGATGTTTAAGATCATCGTAGGAACAAATGAGGTGCACAAACAAATCAGCTAACAACTGAAATTAGTGACTTTACTCTGGAAAGGCCATGATCAGTGATTGACAGTAGTGAGGAAGCTGTTACCGAGTGAAGACTCGACTTCAGGCCCACCATTAACGATTATTATTGTAATCCGTTATTCTATCTATTATTCTGATGATTAACATGATTCAAAAATGGCACATTTCTGCAGATTTTTCATTTTTCCACTTTAGTCTTCATTTTATACAGTATTGGAACTTCAATAAGAGATGCAAATAAGTAATTAAGTAAGTAATTTGGCTTAATCACTGGTCAGAATTTGTTTTTTGAGGAAACATATTCTGACCTCTTTTAGTCTGCATTACTATACAAGTTGACAATTACTCATTAATCAATTCATCACAATTGATTTGATTGATCGGTCCAGCCCTACTCGACTTTTTCTTTCGGAAATAATTCAACAACTTTTGTGTTAACAGTTAAAATGTAACATTTGGGAAATATTTGAACAGATAAAACGGTGAACTACCTGTGCTCTCATGATGGGTGGGGACTGTTCTCCTCTTGGGGCAAAGTCCTCATATCTGAACTCAGGTTCCTCAACTAGACACAACACCAGCTCAGGTGGAGCTCCTCTTACCACCGCTAAACAAACACAGTCAAAGAAGTCGAGTGAGTAAATATCCAAGCGGCCGATGGAGTGACCGGCAGTGAACGGGCATATTTTTACCTGTCGGTATACTCTCGCTCCTCTCCCTTTCAAACCGAGTGACCATCTCCTCCTGTGTGCACTCCTCCTCCTCCTGCTGCTGCTGCAGCTCCACCATTCTCTTCATCAGTACCTCCACCTCCACCGCGCCGTCCACCGTCTGCAAACCATCAAAATTATGGTGTTTATATACACATAAATGACAAAAAAAAAAAAAAAAAACGCTAACCTGTCGGACTGCTGATGGGAGTGACTGACTCGCCTCCTGCCTGCTATCCTCAGGAGCTGGGCTGTGAGGAATGTGACCAGGAGACAGAGGATGGAAGGCGTAGCCCCCAATGTGGTCCGGTTCTGGGTTTAACCCACAGCCCCACACAAAGGAGCAGAGCGAGTGAGTGTGTGCCATCAGAATCACGGCATGGATCAGTTCGGCCAGGGACCAACGCGGCTCTGCCCCAGCACACACCAACTCCTGCAAAGATTGGTCAGAAAGAGCTTGATCAATACTTTTGTTGGGTTAAAAATTAGAGATACGGTTAAATAATATGCTCATGATATAAACCAACAGATTTCAAGACTATTTTAAGGAGGACGGCCACAGTTTGTCATGAAAAACCGGTAAGGTTAGTATACTTTCAATTAATAAAGTTGTACAGGATCATATTTTAAATTTTTTTAAAAGACCAGACAGATTATATGAGAATTTTGATTGAGACGTACTGATGATTCTCACCAAAGCCAACCTGAAAATCCATCATGGCTGCCTAAAATTGGTGACAACTGCAGTAAAATGATTTGTTTGGTCTTCTGAAATTTGCATCCCGTTAAATCTTTCACACAAAGCACTATTAGGCCTGTTACAATAACAATTTTTCCTTGACAATAAATTGTCCCAGAAATGATTGTGAAAAACGATATTGTTGTTTTGAGGCCATTTCCAAATAATATATTGATCACATAGTAATGTTACTATGCGAACTTGCAATGAACAATAAACTTAAATTTTGGGCAGAACACTCCACACTGGAACTGGAACACATTTTCAATATTCAAAATTAAAACACTCCAAAAACAATAAATAAAGCAGAAATAAAACCCACACAAAACCGAAACCACAAATGAAATGGATTATGAAAGTCTCTGAACAAAAAAAAATGAACTGTCAAGACGAAAATTATCAAACTTATTTTAATTTATAGTGCAATTAACTGATTATTTGCTCTTTGTGGCAGGCTTAAGTACTATACATTTTTCTTTTATGAAAACGTTGGCAAGATTTGACTGTGAAAAATGTAGCATTTCAGAGAAGCTATTGCTATCCAATGCAAGAATGCAGTTTCCAGAATATTTCACCGGGTGATTCACCGTGGATGTGAGTTTGGATACAAATCAGGAATCTGCGATTAACTATTACTACTAACAAAAAATGGCAAAACATAAAGTTGACTTCAGACAGGAAGTGAGTGGGCGAGCAGCCAGTATGTCTGACCTGGATGTGCTGCTGTGTGATGAGCCAGGGTCGGTGAGCCAGCAGCTTGTTGAGGGTATGCAGGCTGCGGAGTTTGACGTGCGCATGCCTGATGCCGCTGAGCCAGCTCTCTTCCCCTCCGGCCTCCAGGAAAGCCTTGCTGTGCTGCTGTACCATGTATGAACAGTGGTGTCGGGCTGCAGCCTGAAACACACCAGGAAGGTAAACTAAAAATAAACACGGCAGTATTTCCATTGAAAACATTGGCCTTATATTTGAGGTACTCATCAAAGTCAAACAATGATATCAGGTGTTTTGTGGTTGTAAACAACAGTAAACATCTGTGATAGGTGGAGCAGTTGCACAAATGAGAAACGAGTCACAGCATCATTATGAAAAAGCAAGTTGGCAAACCAGTTCGTGACTTGTTATGACAACTTAAGATCCCTCAAAAACACTACAAATGTGTTTTTTCCCTGGAGCGCTCTGTAGTTGGCATTGCTGCAGTTAAGTTAGGTTTAACAACACTGCTGTTAAATGTTTCACAATAATTCAATAGTTAAAATTGGAAACAACATTTATTGATGCTCCCAAGGAACCAACGGGGGAAAAAAGTTTGCTAAAAACAACTGGATGAGAATAAGCCAGGTAAATTAAAATACATCTCCAAAGCTCGGTCAGAAAACTACACAGTAGTGTAACGTTGAGGTCAATGTACTTTTGCTTTTTACAGAAATAATTTTAAGCAAATACTTTGAAACATTACATTTTAAGTGCAAGTTCTCCTTCATTGTATTTCTTGGCATCATTTTGACAAAATGATTGCATAAATATGAACTTCTGTATTTACACAAACAAAAGCAATGTCAACATATAGCTTTAGCAAAGCTAGGGGAAAATAACATTGAAATAAAAATCTTAAATCATCAAGTTGTAACCTTAGGGAAATATGCTAGTTAGTGCAACATATTAAGTGGCAGGTCTGTTGTATTATTTCTGAACAGAGTGAGCTCATAATTCACTGATAACTGATTTATTTGTTTTTCCAGACAAATAATAACAACAGTTCCTCCTAAATAACAATAGTAATTAAAGGAGACTTTCTTACCATGACGGAAACGTAATGTCTCCAGTCACGGGGCAAAGGGCCGTCCAGTTCAAACAAAGCATGCTGGGTCCTCAAAAAGCAGCTCAGGTAAGTCGGGTGGAGCGCCATGACCATGGTGAGATGATCGACTCGACCCAGTGAAAGAAAAGACTCAATAAGGATGTCTTGGTTTAGCCCTTCTATCAACATCTGAAAAGTCAAAAGAGATTCAAGTTCAAACCTTGTCAAGAAAATTTTCACTTTTTCCTACAGTAGATAATCCAAAATTTCATCTAAATGTTTTTAATAACATCTAGCTAATAACGCAATAATTTCTGTTGCGGAAACTAAGCTTCATGAGTCTCATTTAGCAGGAGCTTTGGCAACAAAACTCGAGTATTGCATCTTTTACAGGCTAGTGCAGCTCGTCCGGCAATGTTGCATCAGAAACTGTTTCTGAGCGTTTCTTTACCCAGCCGTTCTGTCATAAAAACATAAATGTCTGAACATTAAAGATAGAAAATCTAAAAAGGAAAAACAAATACCATAAGTATTGTCACTTTATCAGAAAGTATATGTAGCTGTTTATTGAATGTACAAGTTGTTCACTGCAAACAAAGGTAGAAAAGTAATTTCTGACATTTATTGAAAACTCAGAAAACTTAAAACATAAAGCGCTTTTCTGACAGGATACGATCAAAGCCAGACCAAACACATGGAGACATGATTTGAAAATTAATTTTCAATAAATGCATCAAAATTAAGTTTTGGTTTATAGATGCTTTTTTTCAGTTGAATAAAAAAATAAGGGTTAGGAACAAATCTGACAAGCATAAATATGAATATTTTTGTAATTCCTCAATGTTCTGATGGTTTTAAAACTTGTGTTGATTTTAAGTGTAAGACACCTTAGAATGAAAAAAAAAATGGAATCAACAGTTCAGACCTCAAAGAAAGTTGAAAATCAGTCCATATTGTTTTCCATTTTCTATTCTATTCTGGTTCTGCACAAAGGTGCTTGACATCTGGTATTCTGTCTTTGGATTTGCATCAATAGACATCAACAATGTGCAAACACACAACAACAATGATTGGCATACTGTAGAATTTAACTCCAATCAAGTAGGAAACCCAGTATAGAAGAGGTGATCAGTTGGTCTTAATCCAGAAAGGTGGCAATGGGTGCTCAGTAACAGCAATACAAATCAGAGATGAAAAACTAATATAAAGCTCTAGTGGTAGTTTAGTGAATAGTGAGCCAAGAAATTGTTCCAATCTACCAAATCTTAACATTTAAAGGATTAGAGCGTCAGAAATGTCTGCAGCTGGGTACCTCTTTTGCAGGAATGAAAGCACTTGGACCAGAAGCCAAGGCTCGAGGTACTTCAATCCCCTCCTCCTGGAAATAAAGAATAACACATTTCTGTCAAATAATCTGATAATTATTCTATTGAAAGAAAAATGACAACTTTCTTCTCCTTTTCCTAAAAAATAAAAAAATAAAAACGGCCAATTCCCATAAATAAGGGACGATATATACTTTTGCTTTCAGTAAAATTACATCACAAACAGCTGATTATTAGTTATCTATTGACAACATCTGTCCCGCCAGTCCCAGTCCCAGAAAGTCTTGGATCTGGGTTAAACCATTGTGCAACTGTTAGCAGGCGACCACAAATACCACTTATTTGCCGTTGAACGAACTTTTCTTTTCATACATTTTCAGCACAAAGCATACTTTTGGTAAAGCAATAAATAATAAAAAAAAAATACCCGCATGAAATCTAAAACCACAATCAGACAGCAGCAGCCGAGCTCCAACCGGACACCTGTTTTATAAAGAGCAGTTCTTAAAAGAAAGCAAGTCAAAGAAAAACTCACCGACATCTGAACACGGGAGATAATTACTTCAAGTGAGGCTCCTTGTTGCTTCTAGCACCATGAGTTAGGTTTTTTTTTTTTTAAAAAGAATGGTAAAAATGCGTCAAGCCGGTGTGACTTTGTCACTTTAGAGCGCTGCTTTGGGGCTGGGGGTGTGTCTGCCTGCGTGCTTGTTTGTGCTCACAGCAGCAGGAGCTTGCATCACCTTCGCTTCAGTGTCTGATGAAATATCCCGCAGTCTGGAGGTAATCTGGACCATTTCCAGCTGATAAGTGATTATCAGGTCCAGGTTTATGGTTTCTAGAACTCCAGAGTTTGTGACTCTGGAGTTCTTAAAAATAAAATCCGTGCGAACCCAACTTATAAGCTGCTCTTATTTGCATAATAGCTACACCAGTGAGCTCCAGGTTCTCTGTTGTTGCAATATGAAGCACACACACACAAACACAAATTTTAAAAAAAAATGCTTTTGAACAGCCCCAACATTACCTGTGCAACACTCAGCAGCTCTGTGGCCCTCATCCGAACCTCCTGAAGGGGACACGTCCTGGACAGCCGGAGGAGATGAAGAAGCGTCTGTTTGCTGAGGCGAGCCGAACCGGCCCGGTCCAATTCTAAACACACTAGAATCTCCTGGCTCAGCTTCTCCAGAGCCGTAGCCCGCTCATCTTTGTCCCTGCTGCACAGCCGAGCTAAGCTCTTGGTGGCCGGGCAGATTTCGGACTCTGAATCGTGACGACGTGAGCTCCCGGAGCCTGACACCTGCCTCGGGGTTTCGTCTCCGTTAGCCTGGAAGGTGAAACTTGGTGTGGAACCGCTGGCCATGTCCCGGTACCTCTCTGGTACACCTGAGCTGAGCTGAGGCTACTTGTTGTTCTCAAGCTAGCTCAGCCGAAAGTAAAGGTAACTCTGAGGGAGTTTTGAATCAAACATTAGTTGAGGTCAATGTCAAAATACTTGAGCAATATCCTCGTTCACTCCGCATGAACACACACAGGGACGAATGAGCAGCCAAAGCCTCCCCCTGCCCGTCCTTCTTCATACCCGGCAGCCTGAATTTGTAGTTTCCGGTTAGCTAGCTCGTAGCGTAGCAAGCTAGCTACTAGCTAGCTCGTAGCGTCAGCTAGCAATGCTGCGGACGGCGCTAACGACGCTTTTAAAAGTGGAATACTCGTTTATTTTTAAACATGGCGGCGACGGAAGTACACATTTAATACAACGTATGATGATTTAATTAAATCGCAGGAGCCAAGGAGCTTTCTGATATTCCTGGCTGTTTGTGTTCAGATGCTGGAGAGCCCGTTTTGTTACCTCATTGTGGTGAAACCTTTCATAAATACTTCATTTCTTAGTTTGACACGCTACAAAGCTTTACATAACATCCAACGATATATTTTTTAGCTTAAGGAAAGGCATATACGTTGTGTATGTAAGCAATTTTACTTTTTTACTTGGTTATGTCATGTCTCTTATAAACTAGCGTTCACTTCAGTTTAAATTACATTCAGGAACCAATGTTTTGTACCTCATTATTTTAGCCAATTTTCTTCTAAGAGGTTTTGTAAATGCTGATTGATGGCTGTGGACAGAAAGGCTCTCCAGTAGCTGTCTGTTTCACAGTGACTGAAGTAGCCTCTGAAAGAAGACAGGTCATGATTCTGGAGTTAATTTACTGATTTGTAGTGTTTCTCTTTTTACATTAAAATGTTTCAGATATTTACTCTCAATATGAATGAATAGCGCTATTCAAATAAGTTGGATTCTTCATAAAATAAGAGCATTTCAGACAACTCTACGCATCTTCTTTAGAGACTAATATTTAACAACAGCATGTCTTCAGTCAGCCGTTTCTTCTACAACCATCAGCATCTATACAACAATTCTGAAGAAACTCGGATGAGTCACAACATTTAACTTCTTTTTGGGATCATTAAACTATTTTTAGCCTAACTGAATTGAACTGATGTGAATTGCATTTAATCTAATTTAATCCAAGGTACAACAGAACTTTTTTATATATATCAGATGGTCCCAAGTACCGCCCACTCCTGGATGATATGCCGCTCTGGGCAATGACCCATATTGTCTACATGAAAACTCACCTATGGTTCTTTGACTTCTCTCTTGTTTGGTATCTTCTTGTGACAATCTTTTCTGCTTTATAGTTTCATATTATTTTATTTTGTGTCAAATTGTATTTACTTCAGTCATTCATGCAGCCGATTTGCTAATTTTTGCCCCAATCCAGAATGATTTTAAATTGTCTTTCAATATTAAATGGTAAGAAAATAAACTGTTTTTGCTGCTGTATTTCTACTTTGATCTTTTCATTTAGTTTTTCATAAAGGCATTTCACTGTCAGAGTTTTGTGAGTCCTTTCATAAAAAGGGGAAATCAGCTAAGTGTTCTGTGTTGTTTTCACACAGATCTTTGCCCCTGGAGGAGCACTTTAGCACTTAAAGACTATTATCCAAATTTAAAGTGCAATTAAGCTAAGCTGCAGCAGGTAACCCAAAGACATCCAGCGTTTTTGGTCCTCATGAGCCCTCTACATATTTTACAAACACACACTGTAGCAATATTAATTTAACCCATTTTACATTAAAATAATCTGAAACTACGTTGAACTATGTGTATTCGTGCTTTGCTTGCTAAATTTTTCTGACCCATAAAGACCACAGCCTTGTTAACTTCCTGAATCACCTTTATTTAGCAAAATAAACATCACCTTTGTATTCTTCCTGTCAGGCATAAATCTTATATTAATTTACCGGTATACTTATAAAGCCGCCTTTTAAATAGACAAGAAAAGAGAGACAGGTCGCAAAAAGTAAAAACAAAACCAAAGGTGATGAAGCTGCATCATTTGACTTGGCAGAGGTTGTTTCCGGCAGTGAGAAAGAAAAAAAAAACATTTAGTTAACCATCACTGTTTCCCTATGAGGGAAGACTTTTATTAGCACACAGGCCGGCTTTGGAGAGCAGCCTACAGAGAACATGCGCATATAAAGGCTTGTCCCCCATGGTAATTTGAGGTTTGTGCCCCAGGAGAGTTGGAGAAAAATCGGATAGAGTTGGCAGGAGTTGGATGGAAGAATCTGGAGAGTTCAGGGCACAAGCACAAGTTTGGATTCATATACTTGAGTATTTTACTGAATGCGACATGGTGAGTGTGCAGAGCCATAAGAGATGAGTTGCAAGGGAGTCTTCAAACAATTTTGTTCTCCAGCAAGGCAATCCTCTTCGACATAGTCTCTAGTAAGATGTTGTTAAGGGCAGAAACAGAGACAATCAATAACACAGACATCCGACTCATTATTATAATCACTAATAGGAGTTGGAGTGATGTCAGACTATTAAGTGAGAGAGTACGTTTCGTAAAACAGGGTTTTAGTACTTTGAAACAAAGTAACAACATGTTTATGGAGTTCACACACTGTTTTTAGCATCTTACATTAGAGATTAGAACTGTTAGCACTGCTAGCTTCTTTTGAACAACAGTTATGATGAGTATTACCTGAAGACAGTAAACTCTTGCCTAAACCTGGAGACTTCCAAAAGGCCACAAAATCCACTATGGTTAATACCAAGCAGATAGTGAAATTTCAAAAGGATAAAACTGCAAGTTTGTTGTATGTAATATGTTCAGCCTTCCTGTTATCCACTGATAGTGTTGCACTCGTACTTTCTCTTACAACCGGGATGTACAGCAAACATGTTTCAACATGACACTACAGTTGCTTTCAAATATCTCACTCCATAATAAAAATTGCTCATTTACATTTTCTTTTCCTCAGTAACAGCTGCCACACTAAAGATTATTGATGTTACTACAATAGTACTTGGTTCGGTCCATTCACTTACGGGAAAAAGACAAGATTCTGGGTTTTTCAACAAACAGTGAAGTTCTTGGTGCATTACTACTAAAATTGATCCCAAACACACAACATAGATTGTTACACTCTCAATCACCATAAAGGATATATTTTTTGTTTAGTGCTTGTAGGGCATCCTCTACTTTCTTCTGGAATTTTACAAGAGTGTCGCACTCACAAGGGTCATCTGTGGCATTAAAGCACAGGGTTAATCTTTGCTTTTCTTGTAATATATGTAGTTGTTCAGTTTGTCATTTTTGGTAACTACCATTGCAAACGTTAATTTGTAGCTTCTTGGCAATTTGGCTCATTGCCTTGAAGTCAGCTGTGTAGAAATAATGCTCTCCAATTGGCTCAGAGGCAATCTGTTTCAGCTCACTCTCCAATGCATTGCCCACTCCAACAGCGTACATCTTCAAACCTGTGAGGCACAAACACATTCTAGCATATTTTGGCATTTACCTTTCAACACTAATTTATTAAGTGGACTTCTTTTCCCTCCATCTTACCAAGTTCCTTTGCCTTTTTAGCTGCATCTCCAATGTAGTCCTGGCTGCGTCCGTCGGTAAAGACAATGGCAACCTTTTGCACTCCAGGCCGAGCTCCCTGAGCGATGTTAAAGACATTATCAACTGTGTGGTGTATAGCCATGCCTGTCATGGTTCCCCTCTCCATGTAGACCATCTTCTTCACAGCCTCTTTCAGGTCTTTCTTGTTGCTGTGTCGGCCCAGGGGAAACTCCTGTGTGTTAACAAAAGCAGGGTCTCGAAATGAGAGGGAAATTAATGGCTTATTGTGGCAGCACCAAGAGTAAAAACTAAAACTCACCGTTCTGACAGTGCTGGAGTACTGCACGAGACCAACATGAGCATTTTTATCAGAGACATCCAGTTTGTCGATGATCTGGTTGATCCACTTCTTGACCAGTTCGAAATTCTCGGGACGCACGCTTTTTGAGCCATCAATCACAAATACGGCATCTATCGCAGCATTGCCGCAAGCTGTTGATAGCAGAAAGTACATCGAGGGGATAATCTGAATCGAATTGCACTATGATTAATCTGGCACAAATACGTTCAGACACACACACTCACCACTGCAAGTGCGACCATCATCCATTAGGGTAAAGCCATCTTTGCAGGCACACTTGTATGATCCTGGAGTGCTGATGCATACCTGCTGACAGTCGTGATCCCCAGTGGCACACAGGTCTGACACTGGGTCTGGGTCTGTGTGTGCACAGGACACAGTGCAAACATCACCATACGGAAAGATGCAAGCACACACACAGGGGTTGTTGATTAGGGTTAGGAGGTAAAAAAAACAAAAACTATGTCAGTTTGAATTTCAACAAGCCTTTTAATGATCCACTGCAATCTGCCGTCATTCAAAAGCCGTCATTTGTGCATTTGTTCTTAAGCAAGGTTTTGAAGAGTGTCCATGAGTAGTCAATGTCTTTACTGCAAGAGACACCAGAGTGGTCTCTTATGGAAAGTCAAAAATATTGCAAGATGAATGGTCTTTGCAAAAAATCTAAAAATAGCCTTGTCAATCTGGTTAGACAGTTTCAGCATACTTAGCAAAGCCAACTATACTTAGCATTGGTGAAGTTGGTGCTGTAGACAATGGTTTCAAGAAGATATGTTGTTATAGGGCATTTGTCAAATAAAATGTCTGCAGGCTGGACAATCACTAGAAAAAATGGTGAATGCTCAGTATCAAAGAGGTGGGAAATTGTTTTTTTGTTTTTTTTAAACAAGGTGAGTTCTTACCAGAAACCTTTAAGTTACATCTAAGACTTAAGTGTTCATAGTGCCCTATTTAGTTTATGATCCTCTCAACTGTGAAATGTGTGTGGCATACATGCCATCATATGTACTTGCTCACGAAAGTTGACTTAGTTTTTCTGCAAATACTAATATGGAGAGTGTTTGCTCCAACAGTGATGATGAAACTCTCATTCAAAAGTGGTAAACATAGAGAGACACTGACGGTTGTCTTTCTATGACATTTACTATTACTTTGCTCTTTTGCCACTTTGTACTTTAATGTCGTACCCAAATATAAACCATGACTCATAAAACTGAGTTATTTTGTCCCATGAGTGATTTTCTTTGAACATCTCTCCATCTCTCACAAGCTAACTCTTGACGGAGATTCATTTTTGAGGCCAGACAGATTGTTGCCTGTTACAGATAACTCAGTAACTGCTCATGTACGTACACCACATAACTCCTCTTCAAAA